TTAGTATTAAATATTCTTTGACGTTTTCGTCAGGTTTAAAAGTTGTTTAGACCAATGTGTGTCAATCTTATAAAAAGAAGAGACGTTGATCAAACATTATAATACTATAGCATACTGTATTGTCAAATTTTTATAAGGAGATTCATGAAGATTTAAAGATCAATTATGCGTAAGGATTGTAAAAAGAAATGTGATACAATTTTTCACAAGATTTATCGGAATTGATATTTAAATAATAAACTGTACCTTTGTAGGTGGTGTAATGTTGGCAGAAACATGAGGAGAATTATATAAGATATGATTTGACAATCTCGGCCGAGCAGGATTCAAAACCTCATCAGCGTTGATGAACACGACGCTGATGTTTCTTATTAAGTCGAGCATGGGCGGTACTCCGGGTCCCAAATATTTTTCAGCCATGAGCTGCTGACGAGGAATAAAATAATTATACTGCAAGTATATGTGGCGCCACATCTTTGCAAAGTTTTGTAGCCTCTGCCAGAATGATAGATTTGGTCCTGCGTTTTGTTCTATTTCCCAGTTGGACTCATGACTAGTAAACACTGGTGCTCCACAAATATAATCATAAATATTAGGTATTCCCATCGGGCTATATCCTACAAATTATATAAACCAAGGAAAAGCAAGTTTAACATACGAGGACACGTGTGGTTCAGGTCTAAGGATTTCAACTTATCTTACTAAAAATCAATGTTATTCAATGCACATGAGTCGGAGCGAGAAATTAATATTATTAGCAATGATTCATCTTTAAAGTAATGAACTTCGAATGGACAAAAAATTTCGTTGTATTGTTGCAAATTAGCGATACTAATTGGTAACTATGAATAGTGAAATTGAATGGTGTTTAGTAACAGGTATTTTATTTTAGTAATAAAATGAATAGTAGAAAAATCGTTCTAAATTAAAAAGGATTCCACATATTCGAAAACAATGTTAACGAATGTACAATAGTGACACTAGGTTTACGAAATACATTAATGTGATGCACATTGAATTTTAAAAACATTATTTGGCGAATATGTAAGTCGTTATTGATTGATGCAGTGACACGAATATGTGTCCACATTGTTTATTTTTACATTTATAAATTTTTAAATTTAAATAAACGATCATCAAGTTTTGTAAGAACTATAGAATAAACTGCGGAACAGATGTCTTTAAAGCTAGTGTTAAAGGTTCAGTAATATTTATAGTGAAATAACGATATTAGTTACAAGATAGTGAAACATTACCCATTGTTGGAGCGTCAAATCTGTGTCCTAATGCGAGAAGTGACGTGCTATAGAACATTTCCAATATAACAAGATCAAAATTTGCGTTACTATTTGGCTTGTATAATTGTTTCATTTGTGGATGCTTGAAAATCTCCTCCGTGGTCAAATCGAATATTTCAATAATCTTGTCTTCCACGGACGATAACCAAGATACTCCATTGAATCTATCGCCAATACTGTTCAAGTTCTTTCTGGTTTTAAAAACCTGACTAATATCGATCTGCTTAATATTAGGGACATCCAAACTTGATGTGGGTGCCGCGGTGACTAATACTATTTCGTGACCGCGGGAGGTCAATTCCAACAGTAATGGGGGATAATTTACGTGGTGACTGTAAGTCGGCGTCGTAGCGAACACCAGAATCTTAGAGCATCGGACGTGCTCCACGAACCAATTGATTGAAAGAATTAAAAGCGTAAACACTCTGAACTTCATGTTACAACGACCGATTGTAGTGGACTATCGTTCAGGTCAGCTAGAAATATACTAAAGTGCGAAATGCAAACTGACTCATAGGGACTTTTTTGCGTAACAAAGAACGCAAACGAAACAGAATGCGAGGAAGTAAAATGTACTGATAGACAATGAACATTGGTCGGTGACCGTTAACCTTACCCTCCTTTGAACTCCCCTACCACCTGTAGTACTATGGTATTACTAAACGAATTCTGTTTTGCAGTTTTATACCTGTGTTAGACCCAGATACCTCGATTAGAACTATAAGATTATAAAGGGTACTAAAAATAATAAGATAACAAAAACCATAAGAGCTCAAGTGCCAAAACAATATAAGTGTAAAACTTATTATTCCGTCGTGAACAAAAAACTAGATTTAAGTTACTACTTTGGCAAAATATTATTATCTGGTTGTTTTGAATAGTTTTATTGTCGCCTGTGTGCAAATAGCTATGCTGTTATGCAAATAAATTTTTTTTTAACTAAATATGCAGCGTGTAACAGAATCCCATTGCCTCTGTATCATTTTGGCTTGAGGATAGTCGGTTCAATTCGAACAGGAGCTTAACAAGAATTGAAATGACTAGCAGATTATTATTAGATGCATTAATCCAGCTACACTGATTTTCTACAGTTTATTCCATGTGGGAAGGACAGTAAATGTTTTATCTTAATGTTTGATTTATCTTAGTCAGTTACAAAGTATTAAGAATATTGAGATTTCTTTCTGGAATTCAAGCTGTGAGACAACGACCTTTATATTAATTTTCAAACTTTATTAATGCATGAAGGCATAATTCTACAATAGGAAAATGTTTTTGCTAATTATTACAATGTCGTTGTGATTTTTATAGTGCTCTAAGGGTTTATCTGTTTCTTTGAAACTATATAATGTAAAATTATTAAACCAATGAGGTCACTCAATTATTGAAACAATGCATTATATAGCAAAAATATATACACTATGATTGTGTAATTGATGGTAAATTATTTTCTCGCAATAACACCTATTTATGACAGACTTACACTATATTTTGATTTGAAAAAGAAGAAGGAATATAATGTACCGTATATGAGTTTCTTAAGGCGGCAATAATAGAAATTCATTTTTTCTACAAAACACTGGAATTTATTTATATTTATTTTCACAAGTGAGTATTTACCAGTTCTTGTAAACACTCCTTTCATGGAAAGAAACTAAATATGTCCGTACAATTAAATTAGTACATTAAAAATCTGGATCAACAAAAGTAAAAGCAAAACGGGAAATATAATAACATTTCATAAAAATATTTCATTTTAACTGAAGTTATTAATGACTTTTTAGTAAATAAATATTTAACATCATCAGTATTTACCTTTTACAAGAACAATTGCATTTAATAAGGCTGCACAATACGATCCTTAAGATTAATTCATATTGCAGGTATAAATAAAACAATATTGTAAGGTATATACTATACATAACAAATACACCAGACAATACTATATTACACTATATTTTAAATACCGTAACTCATATCGCACTTCGTAATCACTCACTCATTTAACTTCGCCAGATAATACTACGTGCATAAAAAACAGCTTAAATTATTAGTACTATAACATGTGTATGTTATTTGTATAATTCTGGCATGTCTTGTGTATAAATTAATGTACAAACACGTCGAGCATTCTGGTAACATTCGTACATCCAATGACTACTAAAACGATCAGCATGTTCCGCTGCAGAACACATGACGAACACAATTCATGAATGATATGTATGTATAATATTGTTTCACCAATTTAGAGCTAATTCATTTTTCGCTTTCCTCTTGTGGACATCAGGCGATAACGTTTGTAAGATCGCACGACTAGTGTCGCGATGATACTGGTCGTTTTTGAAACTACTAAAACGGCTACGATCGTCAGGAACACCACGATGTCCATATCGCAGCGTTGGTACCACGGTTGATCAGCCAAAGTCGATCGAAAATGAGGGGCTCCTTTGTGACGAATCACGTATTCCGTCCACCACGCTAGATGTTCTACCAAATCGTAAGGGTTGTCGTTCACGACCTTTTTGAGTTCGATCATTTTTTCCTTGTATCTGGAAAGATAAATGTACACTTACAATCGCCGTAGAGATTTTTCTTTTTAACATGAAAGCTCACTAAAATAGCTGTCATTTTTAAAATGTTAATCATTTTTGTAATTTCTTTTGCAAGAAGTAAATTGAATGTTACAGTGTGATATTTTGACACATAAAAACAGAATATTTCACATTAAATCACTCTATATTTTAGACGTTTCATAGTTGGTACAATGTATACATTTTTTAATCTTAATGACAGATTTTAGTAGACACTAGGTGTATTGTGCCATATAAAGATATTACCGTGAGTACTTTATCTAACTAAGTTTTATAGATTCGTTATTATTCAATCAGAATGCAAAGGTGTTATGTTTTCAAGAGGAAGGGGGTTCGAACCCATGTCTATGTGATCCTTCTTTATGATTAAAAATAATAGAAAAATAAAGTAGCGTCATCTATGTCGTTTATTACTTCGTATTTTCGTTAAAATCATTCATTTGGCAGTTATATCTTGAGATGTATATATTTCACGTATTTTATATAGTGTCAATACTCACTGTTTGTTATTTATCAGTTCTAGAATTGCCCCCTCCAATTCTTCTCTTGTGATGGTCGTGATTTCTAGATGTATCGCGACCCGAAGGGCTTCCATTCTAAGCACCTGGTAATCTTGATCCGCTAATACCGGAAGTCCTAATAGCGGTACCGTAAAATGTACCGCTTCTTCGGTACTTTGTAGACCTCCTTGGTAAATGAACATCTTAATATTGGGATGTGCTGCATAATAGTGAATAGCGATTAATAATTAGTAATTAAAGCCTATATACCATGAATTTACAAGTTACTTGGAGCATGAGATTTTACCAAGAATACTTTGTTGGGGAAGCCATTTTCCGAAAAAGATATTGTCACGTTTAACTGGCGGCTCTTTCTCGTACTTCCACACAACTTTGTAGGGCAATTTATCGAACACGTCCAGGAAAACCTGTAGAGTTTCTTTCGGCATGGACGAACTCATGGCGTTGCTGCCGAGGCTAAAGTAGATGCATCCTTCAGTCGCTTGATCCAAGAAGCGTTTCAAATCCTGACAGAAGAATGACAACGTATGAGAATAACGACGTTGGATGCGATTAAGATAAAGATGGAACGTAATAGTTAAATAATTTTCTACACTAATACTTCCAGATGAGCTATAAATATGTACAGTTTCACATTGCATGGAACTTTGATCGCGAGTTTCACGAACAAAGACCTATTTCTGATAACGTGATAATTTGAGGATTACTTTAAGTATTACATTTTCTTAGTACTGTAAGGGTATTAATTTCACGCATGCGGCTTCATCGGCATTTCATAATTGATACCACGGACGTGCTGTTTTCGATCTTTTAACACTTCTGAACCGGAAGCTGATCTTAACCGAACCTTCTCGAACATTCTTTTACATTCCAAGCCTTTCTCGCAATTTCTTTTTGGAACACTTCCCCTTCGAATTTGCCACTTTCGAGAGTCAATGCAGCACGTCGTGGTCCATCAGTCATTTTCACTCTGTGTTCATACTTGCAAATGTTCTCATTACGTTCACACTACGTTCACACTTGCGCATCTACACACCACGTTCACACCTGCCTTCTTACACTGCGTAAATAAAATATACTCTTCTTAAAGCATCGTTCCTATTTCAGAGATAACATATATTTTTCTGCTTCATTTGTTGTTGATTTATAATTTAAGAAATTGCAGCAATATGTAAAGATCTCACTGATAAATCGAAACACAAACAGTTCAATAACTGTCTTACTTAACAATCTGTCCTAATTAAAAACATTTAAAAAATTGTTTCACTGTGCTATTTATTCGAGTTGTAGCATTGAGTAATGTAATTAGTAGATTGTGGATTAGTGTGCTTTCGTAGCGAATTTGAAAGTACAAAATAACACAGAAAGCTCACAATACTAAAAAATATACCAAATGACCAAAATGTAATATTTTTTATAGTATTTGTTTAGAAAATCAATTTTCCACCGTATTTTTATACAATTATTTTTCTCAGTATGTTCTTTGACATTTGAATTTACATAAATATCTGTAGTATAATAATAACTGTCATAGTAAAATGAATTTAATCATACCTGGGGCAACGGAGTCAATTTTTCCTTGACGTGGAATGAGGTGAACATGATCATGTTTGCCAGTTTCGGTCGTGCCGCAGTTAATGCATCGGCTTGATTGACAAATATAAGGCTGGTATTCTTCAGTATGTCGAGTAGTGGGGGCAGAGGCCTCTCGAAGTACTTCTCCACTAATTTCTGTTGCTGGTGAAATATGTTGCTGTACAAAAAGTACATGTAGCGATAGAGTTTCACGAAATTCTGTAGCCGTTTCCAAAATGGCTGATGCGTTCCTATGTTCGCTTCCATTTCCCAGGTGTATTCGTGCGATGGCAATACAAGGCCGCCGAGAGCATGTTCATTGAGTGTAAGCAGCCCTAATGAACTTAATCCTAAAAACATGCGAAAGGATAAAATTATTTTATATAATAATTTTATTGTTAAAATATTGTCATTATAAAGGGAGACAGATAATTTAGTATAGCTTTCCTCTTGCTTTCGTTTCGTCCAATTTTCATTTCTTTTTACAATTAACAACTGTTAAGCTATACAGGATCTATAAAAAATTAAGTTTTAGTAACAACTAATTAGTTTAAGTGACATTACTCCAATGAAATTTAAATTTACATTCGTTATTGAAGACAGCATTTTAAGTAAGGCTTCCAAATAACTTAATTGACAGTCTTTTGGCGACAGTTCTAGCTCTCCGCCAACAGAAGGCCTACACGCGTAGGACCTTCCCGCTCCTAGTCAGTTCCGCGTGAATTTGTATAGATGTAAGTATCCGTTAAACCTCTTCCAATCGTCCCGGCGTCCCGGCGTCAAAGCCGTGGGTCTACCAGCTTGCCTTACTGACGAAACCACTGGTAGACCTCGGAAGAAACGCCTCACTTCCACCCGTTGAAACTTTTCTAGTTCCATTCTTTATAGTAAATCCTTGGTCGCTTACGTCTCGTAGAACGTTTGACATATTCACAAAAAGAGTTTTGAAATTTTGGTAATTATTTACAGAGACGTAAGTGTGTATATTTCATCTTTTCCAATGACTGTACTTTCCTGTATACATATAACTGTCGTTCGGTTTATAATTGCAGAAGTACAATCAATCGACCATTCACACCCTACAATATATATGGTATGTAATATTATATATATGTGTATATAAATACTTATGTATTTCTGCAACTATAAACCGGATGTCATCTTGCAACTAGATAGCGCCGGTATGTTTGGGAAATAAAGTGACTGATTTAGGAAAATCTTGAATGGCTGAAGAAGAGCCAAGGAGAGTGTTCGGAACTGTCATGTTAGGTATCCTCCTGCGTCCCCCTTTAACGCTACCAGCGTCACATATTTGTGACTGCCATAATTCTATATTTTAAATAATGAAAATGAAATTAATCCTATGGATAGTGTTATTACAAATTATAAATTACGACATTATATTTAGGAACTCAATAGGAAATAAGTGCTGGTAGCCGACGTGTTAATTTACTCGGAGACTTGGTTAAACAAAGTTAAACAAAGCCAGTCCCTTCGAAGTTAGGTATTCTACCTATTCATCTTTTCCTCTATCATTAGATAGGACACCTTTCAGAGATGTTCGTGTACCAAATTTATATGTCCAAAAGACTTCACTTCCCTTGATTATCACACCGTGATGGGGACTCGAAATAAGTACCCAAAGAGATGAGTCCTAGAACAAGAACCTCGCCAAACCTATACATCACTGAAGACCCCCGTTTTTCCAAATTCTTTTTCCCCACTCCTTTTAAGTTTTAAGTTTCCCTAAGTCCTTTTATGCTGAAGTCAGACTCCTTTATTAGTTGGCAAAAGAAAGACGGTTTAAAATAGAAGAGAACGAACAGTTTCCGAAAATCTGTTATCACTACTGCTGTTGTAAAAGAATTTGGACCAAATGCCGTTTGCCTAAACTCAAGTGGAATCAATGCAAGAAACAGAAGCCCTGACAAGGTTGGTAAGCAGAGATTCTAGTGAAACATGAGTACAGGACACCTACAAAAAAGAATGCTTTCCGTCGCAGAACAATAGAACGTGCATTTCTTTTCTACCTGCAAAGGTTAAGGATGAAAATTGACCCAGTTTGAACCTGGCTACCAATAAAAATTTGTTGCACGACAATATTCTGTATGTTTTAATAGAATCCAACATGTATAATTATTTATTTCGATGATGGTGTGAAGGTTTTAAAAAATAGATGCAAACGTTGGAATGTTTGTCTTTAGTAAAACTCGAAAATTAATTTATTACCTTTCTAAAATTAAAATAATTAAATGGAATAAATAATTTTTTTCAATTATAAATAACTTTTTAAATTAATAATAAAATATGTGCCAAAAAATGAGTATCAATAATGAAAAAAAACATTGTTTTAAATATTTCGATTAGGCAATACACAATGTTACACAATTTGAAAACATTTTATTTATACAGACTGAAACTCCCACATAACAAAAATTTTATGGTTCCTTCAGTATATTCAATATCAATCTATAATGAATTTTCAACTAATTATCATTATCATCTTTTCTGATCACGAGAATAATGTATTGTACAGAACATTATGATTCTGGAATTTTTTTAAACTAAGTGCTGCCTCTAATAAAGCTAACAATACGGGTAATGAATATTTATCGTACATTTTGAATTCCTGGTTTAAACTTTTATATCACGCGACAAACTGAGAAGAATCTCACGACCTTGATCGACTAAATCCACAAGCTGAAATATTGTAGTAAGTAAATATTTACGAATATGTAAAAACTGTATGAGAACGCCGATTAGGTTAACAGAAAATCTTACTCGGAGTCATGACTTTAACAATCAATGTGAAGATCAAAATCATTCGCGTAGTGTCCCTTAAAGTAAATGTTTACCAATTATTAAACAGTTTTACCGTTTAACACTAGAATTACGAATATTTATTGGACACTGTATTTTATCGTGCCTGAAAAAGTAGATGTTCGTTTATGTACGTTTTGGAAACTAGTAGAGTTGTAGGATCATGATTCCGAAGTTTCAATTTTCTAGACGTTTTGAACACTATCACACGTTGCACAGAATATGCATCCGAAAGGAGTGGTGCATTATACGATTTGAATGTGATTTTCTGTAGAAATTCCTAACATTCTTGAGAATCCTGAACATTTTTTAAATCTCGCACAATTTATAATTGAGTGCCTTAAAAACAGAAGCTTTTATGAAATACTGTTTATAAAATTCAATATCTAACAATTTGTCGTCTTCCGTAAACATATTGTTAATTGTACATTCAAAGAAATCCACCTTTCATCATTTAATTTCTTTTTAGGAGCCTTCCTTGATTTATCTCCTATTCTGTTTTCCATTTTATAACGTCTTATAAATAATTCCACAACGTTACTCTCATGACATTATTCAACTTGGTGATTATTCTGATTAATAGTGTATTTATTGACCTGATAAATTTTTAATAACGAATATCTTAAAAACTACTGAGTATCTGCCCATATAATGATATATATTCATAAACAGAAGAATCAAATCTACCAATATACAAAGTTTTAACGAAATCGTTGACCCGAAGGCCTTGCACTCTCCTTGTAAATATTTTTATCTCGGAAACTATTGAGTATTGGACCCATGTTCACTGAGATTTTTTTACTGAGTTTAATGAGTTGTACATGCCTTATCATTTGTGCGCAACATTTTGTTAGACTCTGCATATGAGTTTCGAAACAGATAAATGTTTTCATTAGACACCTGTAGAAACAAATATTTCGTAAACTGTTGAAATATGTGTCTAATAGTTATAATAAAATTAAATGTAGGAAACATGTCGACATAAGACTATTAAGACTTAATACGCAAACATTGAAATACGCATAAAAAAGGTTTCTATTATTTTTCCATAATTTCCAATGATGTTTCCGCTTTTGTTATCACTATTACTTTTATTACTGTTTTCCAACGATACTTCGCTCGATTTCAGAATACGTCCCGTTAACAACACTTCTTTTCAAGTTCCTTCTACATTTTTATTTCACCAAACACTAATCTATCAAAGTGAAAATTAAAACATACCTATCAAAGGCGCGTTGAACCTGTGAGCGAAGGCGTACACAGAGGGTGTGAGTAACATTTCGGCGAACACAAGGTCGAAATGCTCGTTGCTGTTAGGAGCATACAACCGTTTTACATCCGTGTTGTTCAGTATGTGTTGCGCAGCAATATCGATCAGGCGCAGCATGTTTTCCTCGACGAACGTCAGAAAATCGGCCTTCTCGAACCGCCGCTTAACGAAATCGACCCCTCTGACGTCTTTGTACATCTGACTAATGTTGATCTGCGTGAAGTTCTTTCGGTTCATGTTCGGAATCGGATCCGTAGTAATGAGCACAATCTCGTGCCCTCGTTTATGCAGTTCTAGCCATAATGGTCGGTACGGAATCTGATGGCTGTAGGATGCCGTCGGGAGGATCGCAAGAATCTTGGCACACTGCTGCTGCTTGATGACGCATAGGACGCAGAAGAGGAAAAGTGCGACGGGCACGATGTAGTTCATGGCGGTACGTTAGTGAACGATCGACTGCGGACGCTGGTCGCGGAACTACTAATCGTAAGACGGCGTGTGACGCGAATCAACGCAATACTCAGAGCTTTATAAACGAATAGTATCAGCAGTAGAATTCTGTGGTTAGTTTCCCCGCTGAGTCACGATACGAAAGAGGAACAGATAGTGCAATTAATCGATAATATGATAAGATGTTTTATTGTGCGTTTCATGGGATCTGCTTACAAGTGCTTTTTTCTCACGTAAATCCGATACTGTAATCGTCTCATTGCAGTCAATTTTCAACTTTAATTGAGGAACAAAACATCTAGAGCGTTGCGGTGACAAAATTAGAAAGGAATGCGATACTTGCACGCATGGTTGTTATAGGTGTCCCGCGCACGTTTACACGTTCGCGACCAACGCTTGTTTCAGTACCTATCTTCATAGTTATAATATTATAGTAAACGCAACAAATTGTGTTTACAAAATGAAAATAAAATTCAAGAAAAATATGTTATCAACTTCGATCGCAGTACACTATCTGTTATGATTTTAGATAAAAAGGTAAGTAATTGAATTTTCTTTACGCAAGATGTGTAAACTGTTGTGCGTTACATTTTGCGGCATGATTTTCAGGCATGACAAATCCACTTGAACCAACTATCAATCGATCAACAAGCTGATCTGCTTGAAATTGTCTAGATGAGACGTTCATTTGGGAATGTTGTGATAAAAACTTTTTGTTTATTGCTGATTCAGTTAGTGGTATTAATGATACTCTATGTTATATTTTTGTCATTGCAAGATTAGCATTTTGCACTTTTTGCTAAATAATAAAACGTTACCTCATTTTTAATATTTCTCCTTCCGGCACATTCCGGATCTCCATCTGGTTCATTCCAGTTCTATATCCAGTCAAATGGACCATTCCAAACTTTTGCACATAATTTCCCAGATAAAAGGTTATGTTTGTTTCGCGGTGCGACTTCCAGAAAGGCATCTCAATGCTCTCAATGCTTCAGAACTCATTGAGACGAATTAATCATTGAGATTTTCAATTTTTAATGTGATGGAGCACAATCTGAGCTGTTAATATTCTGCATGTCAATCCATCCCTGTGTCATAAGGGACTTTCTTACCCAACTAGCATGTTAATCTTAGCACAGGATTTCCACCCTACGAAGTTGTGTCTTCTGGCCATAATAATTAATCTGTAGTCAAATATGGTGTGTACCGGTAACCACAGAAAATTTGTTTACGAGTGATCGACTAGCTAAAAAATTAATAGTAAAAAAACTACTATTCTTGGAATCATTACAGGAAATAAGTGCGAATTCCCCAAATATTCAAAGCAAGTAAAAGACACATGTCACAGTTTTCAATAAGATTATACAGGTCATGATATAACTCCGTAGCGATTAGTTGTGCAACGAAAAAGAAACATTTGGTACACAAGGGTTCAGCAAGATTTATGGAATGCACAACGTAAGACACTATCTTTGAGAAAGCGTCTTCAACATTTTTAGCCACTTGACGGACAAATGAGTCCACGTAGTTTTCCCATGACAATGTCAATAACACAAGTGAATGCCATAAATCTTGGATCTTCGAAGGGCTTGCAGCACCGAGTGTTTAACGACGTGCGTTCTGGCTTTTGTCAGGCCGGAAGACACCTCGCTGCATCGCCGCGAACTATTTTTTGAGCAACAACCGCCCTCACTCTCACAACGAGTTAGGGGCGTAGAGAGTGGCTGGCCTTGTACAAAATTCCTCGATCGGTGGAAATCATTTGCAATGACTTAACCAATCGAGAATAACCGTAAAGCTCCTCCAGAAGAGGACACAGTCTTTTACAAAGGAGCGCGTGGCATTTTTGAGACTGATTTCTACGTGTGGTTTTCTAGACGCATCACTTGGACATTTCTTTTTGGACATAAATCCAGAATCCAACTATGTTCCTTCAACTTTCACTATGTATAAAAACAAATCAAACGAATAAGTGTTCCTACTAAGTTTAATTACTAATCACTCACACATTTAACTTCGCTAGCAAATATTACGTCTATAAAAAAACTGCTTAAATTATTAGTACGCTAACATGTTTATGTTATTCGTATAATTCTGGCTTGTCCTGCGTATAAATTAATTTATAAACACGTCGAGCATTCTGGTAACCTTCGTACATTCAATGACTACTAAAACGATCGGCATG